AAAAAAAAAAAAAAAAAAAGGGGAAAGAGAACTTAAAAATTCTAAGGAAAAACAGAAGATTAGTGATTGGATCTTAAAAATCAGAATTAGCACTCATACACACACACACACACACACACACACAAAAGATCAACACAGTCAGTTATATTATAGCATTAACAAGCAATTCACAAGACAACAAATATACAAATAGCAAACACATGAGAAGTTGAAGCTCAGAAGTAAATATATATATTTAAGATTAGATTACATACTAGTATATTAGAGGGCTTTAAAAAATATAATACCAGGGATTGAACATAAGGGACTTTACCACTGAACCCCATCCCAGCCCTTTTTATTTTTTTTATCTAGAGACAGGGTCTTGCTGAGTTGCTCAGGGCCTTGCTAAGTTGCTGAGACTGGCTTTGAACTTGCAAGTCTCCTGAGTTGCCAGGATTAAAGGCCTGTGCCATCACTCCTGGCTTTTATTAGAAGGATTTAACCCAATGTAGGTATAAATGTGGGGCAGTGGGCATTTCCTAAATAACTAATAGGAGTGTGAATGGTACAATCTTTCTGGAGGGTAATGTACATCAAAGGCCCCTGGTCTGGACCATTATATTCTAGAAAATGAGCCTAATAGGAATGAAAAAGTTTTAACCATGAGACTATTTCACAGCATTGTTTATAATATTGAGAAACAGGAAACTAACCACATGTTCAATAACAGATTGCTTAATTTTTGGTACTTCCATATTCTAGAAATACCATGCAACCAATAAAAATTACAATGATCAGAAAAAAAACCCACACTAAGTGGGAGAGGAAAATGCCTTGAATCTAAAATATATTGCATTATATTTTTTTTTGTAATCAGAAAATAAAGCAAGAAGTACAAAACCTGTATTTTTTTATTTCATTAAAAATGAAATTAAAAATGAAAAGTGTGTAGCTTAAAGAGTTTGGGTAATTGGATTTATTTTCTTATTTTTGATAATCAAGACTTTCTTTTTTCTAAATAAAAATACAATATTTTATGATAAAGGCAAAAATAGGTTGTTTTCTTAAATTACATTTAGGTTTTTTTAATTCATTTTTCTCTTGCACTTGTCTAACTTTGAAGCTCACAGTCAGTTATATTATAGCTATAGTTATATTATATTATAGCTCAGTCATTTATCCCCAGGTGGTCATCCAGCCACATTTCTTCTTGTGTTTTCCTCATCCTTGCTATATCCTACTTTAGATATTCATGAACTGTGCACTGGAAGAAGTAGAGGAGGTAAATTGGCAAAGGTTTCATTCTGCTCTTTACTTGCAATCTTGTGCAGATAACTTAGGCAGTAAGCCTGTAGTTCAGGTATTTAGATAAAATTTACTTACATGCTTTGTATGATAACCTCTTCCAAGTGGCTTTAGAAGGTAAAATTTTGCTTTGTTACTCTGAAATTGCTTTGCTTCAATATTTCTGTGGAGATCCACAAAGCTATAATAATGCATTTGTATATAAATATTACATTATACACATGTCTTGTTCACAGTATAATTAAGTCGTGAGAGTGGGGTAGATTGCAGACAGGCCAAAGAAAGTGCCTCAGAACATCATGGGAGACATATGATTTGTTGGGGAAAGCTTTCAAGAGATCAGTGACAGTTCCAAGGAGAGTTCAGAAGACATAGGCTGACAGATAGCACCTCCATCTCTCATGGTGCTCTGCCAAGCAGTGCCTCCTCTCCCTCGCAGTGTTTTGTTTAGTGGTGGCCAATTGAATTAGTGACATGTATCCTTTCCACAGTGCCCTCAAATCTGTGCCTGTCCCCAATTAGAAAGGGGTTTTATATGTTAGGCTGCCCAAACAGTGACATCACCAGCATTGGCTTAGTTAGTTTGCTCTGCCTGGCAGGATCCCAAGGAGCAACTGTCCTGGTGTACGTGCAAGAAAGTAGTTTTCTACAGATAACACTAACTTGCCCTAGCTCCCAGTGTGCATAGAAAAAGCCATTGTACTTTGAGATTATATGTATAAGGATTTTCCAGCCCAGACTTGCTCTCATTATTCCCTTAATATGTAAGATTTTTGTGAACAGAAATTAAGGGCATTAAGGGATGTGTTTTACTGTCCCCCTTTGTTTTTAGCAATGATCTAACATATAATATCCTAAAGATAAAGATGTATATCAGCTTTTTTGGTAATTGTTTTCCAAGTTCTTCCTTGTGTTCCTTTCATATAATAAAAGAAATATCCCTTTTAAAGTTGGAACGAAGTGGTATAAGATGGGTAAATGGAAAAAAATATTGAAGGGGAAGGATGTTCTGAATCTAAGATATATGTTTTTTAAATAAGATATATGTTTTTCAAATCTAGATTATAAATTATTTATAAGATTTATAAATCTAGATTTATAAGTTTGAGGTCATAATCTGGAGTTGTGGCCTCAAAATCATAAATCTGTTGATCCTTACTAGTTTTATGAAATATTTACCTCAAATTTCTTCAGATAGCAAGACTTTGTAGTATATTTTAATGGTTCTACCCAATTTATAAAAATGTTACTTAATCTTGCTTTTTTGGAATTAGAAACAATTTTGTTGACTTAATTAAAGATCTTGATTTATTTTTCTGGAGTTATAATGTTTAGTTGAGATTCTCCCCTCTTTTCTTTTACCCTTAATTCAAACTAATAATCATTAATTGTGCTAAAATCTTGCAGGGGACTCTCAGTCTAAACCTTGAATTAATTATAAGGTTAGACTGAACCTATACACAGCCAATACAGCTGAGAGTAGGTATCAACCTTGGAAATGCAGATATTTCTGGAATTATAACTGTTGGTCATAATTAATGCAGCCCCCCAAATGATCATCTAAGGAAAACCTAGGAGCCATTTATCTATTCTTTAAAGCCAATGAGAAGTAGGTAGTCAATGACTTCTCAGCTGGGCTGTCAAAATCTTTGCCTTTTCATTGTTATTTGCAGTGTGCATGCTACACCCTATCACATCCTATAATTTGAGGACCTTACATTGCTGTGTGTTTGCCAACAGAACTATTTGGCCCATGAGGACCTCTTGTTTGCGGTGGAAATGTTGTCTGCTGTTGCTTTACTAAACCAGGCCTTGGAGAGCAATGATCTTGTGTCTGTGCAGAATCAACTCAGAAGCCCCACAGCAGGCTTCAACAATCTGGATGAGGCATGTGTGGAACGGTAAGGAACATTTTCCAAATCCTCTTTCAATGCAGAAATTTGTGTTTGGCAGATAGCATAAATTAAGAATTTGTTCCTTGGTGGAAAAATCCATATACCATGCTCATGTTTCTTGAGAGCTAGTCTACTCTGTTTGAAGAGTTATTCTTATTAGAGGCCTCCTTCTTCCTTTTTTTCTTTTTTCTTTTGGTACTAGGGATTGAACCCAAGGGAGCTTTTACCCAGTTCTTTTATTTTTTTATTTTTTATTTATTTTTTTTTTTTTGAGACAGATCTAGAATCTGCAATCCTCCTGTCTCAGCTTCTGGAGTTGCTGGGATGAGAAGTGTGTATTACTGTGTTCTTTGGGGGAATAAAATAAATTTTAAAATGATCATCTTGAGGCAATTAATGACTGGTCATTGACAGGTTATGTAATGGGCTAAAAATAGAGGAATCATTGAAAACATACCTTAAGGGCTTCTTGGAGATAGTAGATTGTAGAAGAGTTGGAAGCAAACTAATAATCATCTACTCCACTAATTTTTCAATTCACTGGTAAGGAAACTGAACCTGGAGTTATGGCCTCAAAGTTGGACAGGACCATACCCCACTTTTTCTATTATTAAGTCAGGGGAATCCTGAGCCTGCAATGGGTCGTGGTAGTGAGTAACAACCTCAATTTAGTGTCTTTCATTTCGTGTTCCTGAAATATACTTCTAGATGGTACAACTGATATTATAATAAAACACTATAGTAGATCTAAAGAGAAAATTAAAATCTAAAGAGCCAGAATTTAAGATTCTTTTTGTTGTTTGTTTTCTTTTTGGTGCAGGGATTTGAACCGAGGGCCTCATAAATACTAACACACTGAGCCCTCAGATTAGAGACTCAGTAAGACAAAAACTTGAGTTAAAAATGAGGGAACCCTGGATTTTTGTGACCACCAGAGGGAGATGTCTGCTTAGATCTTGACAAAAGCCTTTTCAGATACTGTTTCCAGGACTACTTTAATCTGTAGATTGGCTAATTGTCTTGGGTAATATACAGTAAACAGAAAAAGAGGAAACAACAACAACAACAAAAAAAATCAGAGACTTCTTAGATTTTAAGCAAGTGGTGTTTGACCACTTGTGTACAAACAAAATGACCAAAAAGTACTGGGAAGACAATGAATTTTCCTTGTTTTTAGTTTTCCTGGAGAAACTAATGTTCTTATTCTACTTTTGTTAAACCATCTGGTTCATATAACTCCCCAGAGTTTGTTTCCAAGGTAATTTATTTCTGCCTCCACTGTTCCCATTAATGGCATCAACCTCTTTTCCGAGCTTAGAAACCTCGAGCTACATTGTGCTGTGAGGAGCCTGCTCCCTTCTGGTCTCCGTAGTTAAATTGTATCAGGATGCCGCTGCAAAACATTTCTGCTCCCAACAACCACCCTTATTTAACCTTTATGTTTCTCACTTTGTTTTGTAATAACCACCACAGTTCCCACCTCTTTTCTCTTCCATCCATTCATCATTCTCAATAGATAGATAGATAGATAGATAGATACATACATACAATATCTTTATTTTATATATATATATTTTTATGTGGTGCTGAGGATCAAACCCAGTGCCTCATACGGGCTAGGTGAGTGTTCTGCCACTGAGCCACAGCCTCAGCCTTCACCATTCATTCTTACCTAACAAGGCTTCAATCACTCTTGGTTCTGGAACAGAATGCAAAGCTGGTCTCTCCCTTGTGAAGCTACAGTCTGTTGATGCATCTTGGTGCATAATTGTCAGGACTGTTCCATATATATTTAGCAGCCCAGCCACTGCCCTTTAAATGAAAGTAGTCCCCACCTACCCAGTCATTCATTTTGATGAGCAAAACCCCCTCTCCATTTACAAACACCCCATAAGGAAGTGGTACCCACTGCATTTGAGAACTATGTTTGTACCTGTATTAGTCAGTTTTGTGTGACTACAACAAAATACCTGAAATGATTAACTTAAAAAGAGGCAAGGTATGTCATAACTCACAGTTCTGGAGTTTCTAGTCTATATTCAAGTGGCCTCATGGCTTTGGGTAGCAGCATATCGTGGTGGAAGCACATGGTGGACAGAATAGCTCACCTCATGAACCAAAAAGCAAAGAAAGAAAAATAACGGAGCCCTACAGTCCCACCTAGTGGTATACCTACAAAGACCTAAGGATCTCCCGCTAGGCTCCTCCTCACAAGAGTCACACTAGGGACCAAGTCTTTAACACATGAACCTTTGGGGGACACTCATCCAAAGGACAGAAATACCTATTGATTTCAATCAGGACCTACAGATACAGAGTCTAAGTGGTTTGTAGGAGAAACATTTGAAATGTGTATATTTTGATGATTTTTACATTTTTATTTAAGTACATTCTGGATCACCTGGACAACTACCTTTATGACCCAGTACCAGCATGAGATTTCAAGGTCCACTTTTGTTCTTGTATTAATTGTCATATTATCCCCAAGTGATCTTCCACAGCCTGAGTATTTCACTTTCAATATCAACCTGGGTTCTTAGAAACCAGGGATTTCAGGTTATCAAGTTTGAAAAGCACTGCTCCATAGGGCCACTCCTTATGGTTGTACAGATTCACAGCACAGGGGTGCTGGGCAGGCCCACCTTGATGAAGCCTTGCATAGTCTCCCTCTTCACCGTGGCTGCCACTCCTATAATTGTATTTTCCCAGAGATTCTTTTGTTTAATTCTCACAAAAGTGACATATGGGTTAGCCTTGACTCCAGGAATATACTGTTCCAGGTTAACTGTTTCTGTGTTTAATTGTTCTTTGTTCTCATCTAGGAACCCCATACTCCAAACATATTGTTCTGACATTAGCTCCAGCTACATTTCTAGTCCTATTTTGCACTTTAGCCAAACTGGATCCAACCACTCCATGGATTTTTTTTTTCCTGTCTATACCTGTTCATGCTCCTTTCACCAACAAAAATTTAGTATCTTCATCCCACATTGCTCAACATAATATTGGAGCCTTGCCTACTGTAGATGATGCTTCTGTGAATTGTTTCCGTGCTTCTCATCCCAGCTAAGTGCTTTCTTCTGGGAACTAGCATGATCTGGTTAAAGGAATATAAGCCTTGGAGCCAAAATATCTGTGTCGCACCTCCCTAGCTGAGTCCTTTCTTTTCTTCTTCTTCTTTTTTTTCCATTTATAAAGCACAAAACAAAATAACAGCAACAACGAAAATCCTACTCTGCATCTGCATAACTGTTTTGAGGATTAAGTGCCTAGTTTAGGGTCTGTCCCAGGGAAGGTGTTCCACCAATAAGAATTCTCTTCCACTTATCCTTCCTTTGAATCCTATCGTATCTAATCTTTGGGATTTTCTGTACTTCTGTGGCCTTTACTGTGCTCTGTTTTGTTTTATTTTGTTTTGTTTTTTGGAATAATGTTATTGTATTTTTAGACCTATATTTTATTTATTTATTTTTATGTGGTGCTGAGATCGAATCCAATACCTCACATGTGCAAGGCAAGTACTCTGCCACTGAGCCACAATGGCAGCCCTGTGCTCTGTCCTTATACCTGTTTTGAAATTTTGTCTCCTTGCCCCCTGGTCTGAATGGTTCCTCTTGTTCCTCCTAATCTCCCTCTAGTGTCCTTCACATATTTTGCATGTAATAAGTGCTTAATAAAAATCTGCTGAACTACATTGGATTGCTAGTCTTCTCAGAGCTTCCAAGGTCTTTTAGATCTATAGCCTTACTTGTCCATCTATGGCAGAACGGGAAGAGAGCTCGGAGATGAAGGACCTCAAACTGTGTCAGCAGACTACAGAATGGTTCCCAAGGTTGATTATTTCAGTCCTGGAGACGACTACACATTTGGAAAAGCCTGTTGAGCTCTGTTGGGTGCCGCAGTCTGGCTGGGCACAAAATCACGAGCCACCACACAGCTTGTAGATTCAAACAGCAACTCTTTATTCCCGAACTCACACCAGCCATCTACAATCACGTTCTGGGGAAATCCACGTTCTTTGCCCAAATCCACCCCCACTGGGCTTCTGTCTCCCAAAAAATACTGTCTGAATCCCGTGAGAACTGAAGGGGAACTCAGGCAGCAGGATACGCCCTATTCCCAGCAGGAATAACCTTAAACCTGGAATGCCCTAAACCCGATTATCCTAAACCAGGAACACCCTAAACCCAGATCCGCCCTGGTCCTTGAGCAAGGTCACCTACATGCAGTGTCACTGCAAAATGTCCTATTTCCACGAGTCCTTCCACTAAGCAACATGGGGTACGCTGGCAAGGAAATTGTCATACCTACTTGGCTAATGGCTCCCAGCAGTTGGGTTTCCCCTATAGTCTTTTCTCTTGGCTTGTTGGTATTTATTTCTAAAGAGATGATGAGTGTTTGTGGGTCTTTTTCTGTGTTCATCCTAAGCTTTCTCACTATACTCCTGTTGGATCATGACTTAGACATTAGTGTGTGAATCACTTTGCATTTTCTTATAGATGGTTCCTGTCTTCAAGGGATGTTAGCCAGTATAAGCTACTGATTATCTTAATTGTTATGGGAGTCGGTGTTATTTATTAGATATTAGAGTAGTAGAGTGTTTCTTAGGTTTTAAATTCTTGAAAAGGTAAAAATCTCACACAGAACATTTAGCGTTTAGCCAGTTTCAGCCTGTATTTGGGAAGACCTCGTTCATACAGAAAATGAATTGTCATTATCATTTCCTATTTTGAAGATTTTTTTTCTCAAGCTATTTTGGGGAAGATTCTTTCGTGTTTCCTTAAAACATATAGAACTTTGAGAAAATTTGTCACAACCTGGAAAACAGTTTTAGACTCAATGTGTTACTTCTTTCAACCTCTGCTGGTAGTTAGCAAATACCTCAAGCAAGTCAGTAGTGAACTGCAAATGAATCTCTATGTACATAGAGAAGGGGTTTTCATTTTCCTGGTGTAAAGATACAAAAACAAACTAACTCTGGAATTTATTTGGTTTCAGCTAACTAGTTCATGTTAGCAAGTGGAATAACATTGATTCTATAATGTTTAAAGGATAAAATTGACTACAAAGAAAAGAGTTTCTTAGTAATATATCAATATGAATAAGTTTTGTCCTAAAATTTCCCTAGACAAGAAAAAAAAATCAACTCAAGCCTATTTTCCAGAAGCAGTGTACAGTGAGGAGAATCAAGGGTCAGAAATAATGTCTGAGTGCCTTGGTAATGAAGGGACATAGAGTTTTGAGCTGCTGCTGTGGAGCAATTGGAGTAATGGACAGGTGACAAGGAATTTTTAGGATATTCTGGTTCAATTCATGTGCAATTTCTTCAAGAAAATATACGGTGGAAAATATTGGTTCTTAAGCAAGATTCCTGGAAATGGATAGTGGTTTGTTTCCTTCCTTCCTTCCTTCCTTCCTTCCTTCCTTCCTTCCTTCCTTCCTTCCTT